CCGCCTCCCACGGAGGGCCCGAGGCGGTGACCGAGAGGCCGAGGGAGGACCAGTGCTTGGGCGACGCGTCCCACTCGTGCGACACCGCGAAGTCCATCGGCTTGTGCCAGAACGTGGCGACCTCCACCGTGATGTTGTTGCCCTTGAGCGAAAAGTCCTCCTCGTGTTCCGCCACGACAAAGGTGAAGTTGGCGTCCGCCTTGTTCTGGAGGTCGAGGTCGAGCCCGCCGAGGTAGTCGTTCCCGCCCAACGCGTCCTCGTCCCAGAGGTCGATCCGCGCCCACTGGCTGTCCCACACAGCCTCCGTCTCGGGGTAGTGGCAGCACGTGTGCTGCCGCTTCTCGCGGTGCCACGTCGGCTCGTACTTGATGGATAGCTCGTTGGTCTTCTTGTCGCGCTTCTCCTGCCGCGCGAAGGTGGCCACCTGCTCCGTCGCGCAGAAGTCGGTGCCACTCACGCAGGTGGACGCGTAGCACTCGCTCTTCTGCGGGTCGTTCGGGCAGTACTTCTCGTTGTTGCCCGGGACGATGCAGGCGGCGTCCTCGTACAGGCCCTTGATCGTCATCGAGGCGAAAGGCTGGATCGCCTCGCTGAACCGGCCAGCATGCAGGAGGCAGATGTAGACCATTTGGTTGCAGGGGGCGGCGCCTGCTTGTGAGGATGCGCTCCTTAGGATGATAAAAAAGAAATTGCATCTCGCTATTGTCGAGAAAAGAACGACGCGAGAGAGGAGGAAGTGACAAGGGAGAGAACGGCGAGAGTGGGACGGCCGCGAGGTGGCATGAAGGTTGCAGCGAGAAGCGGCGAGAGACTGCGAAAAGAGATACGAAGAGGCAGACTCCAGGGTGGGCGACGGCTAGCGCATCACACTCCTCTCCTTAAAAAATCCCTGTGTGGTGGCGGCGTGCCGTTCTCCCATCTCTCCCTTGGGTTGTACGTTTTCTTTCTTTCTTTCTTTTTATTGTCGACCGAGGGCCAGGATATGCAGCGAGGAGGGCGGAGCTGCGCCGAAAGGCGCAAGAAGCCGCGAGAGCAAGGGACCGGCAGGAGGCGGCGGCGCCGCAGAACGAAGCAGAGGAGAGCGACGCGACAGAAGAAGAAGCGACAAGGGAGAGCACGACGAGAAGGGGGCGACCGCGAGGTGGCATGAAGGTCGCAGCGAGAATCTGCGAGAGACTGCGAAGAGAGATAGGAAGAGGCGGACGCCCAAGGGTGGGCGACGGCTAGCGCACCACACACCTCTCCTTAAAATCCCTGTGTGGTGGCGGCGTGCCGTCCTCCCATCCCTCCCTTGGGTTGTCCGTTTTCTTTCTTTCTTTGTCTCTCTCTATTGTTGTAGTTTCTTGCTAGGGTGCCCACAGGGGTCAGGGCCCAAAAAAAGAAAGGCTAGGGGGGAAAATGGGGCAAGCCTCATCGCAGCACTTCGTGTTGGAGAGTCGAGATATTGAGATTGTGACTAGGAGGGAGGGAGGCTGGGGATTCTCAAAGGTATGCCCTTGGAATGGCCGGATCCAGCCTTGAAAGTACGAGATCGCGCGCGCTTCGCGCGCTGCACCGCCTGTTCTCCGCGGCTGAGTGACGACGCGTGCCGTGTGCCAGCAGAGTTCGGCGCGCGCGGCGCGACGGCGCCCGCGAGGGAAGGCGCGGGTGCAGCGGCCGCCAGCGGTCGTACCGCTCGCCGGCCAGCGCAGCAGCGGCCAGCGCAGCGGCCGCCGGCGCAGCATCCAGAGCAGCCGGTGCGCGCCTTGCGAGGCGAGTACTGCCGCCCGAACTCGTTCGAATGTTGCGAGCTGTGCGCGCGCCAAGGCGCGCGCGGCGCGCGCCCGCCCGGCTGCCAGTAGGAGGCGGCGCAATATGGCCTATAGTACAGCCCTTGAGCAGCAGCCGTTCAAAGGTCGGGCGCGCGCCGATGGGGGGTGGGTGTGTCTTGCTTGCTCCACACCGAGCGCCATCGGTCCGGACCGGTGCACTCAATGAGCGGCAGCCTGCACAAGGTCTGTGCCGCGGGCGCTCGGCCGCGCCAAGTGCAGTGTCACGCTCGTGCTCGAGCGCGTCACAATGCTCAATGGGAAACCCTCGTTTCCTAGTCACTCGGTCCCCCAACGGAAGAGGCCTCGCTCCTATTGGAACTGGCCAACATCAGATTTGCCGCGTGCGTCCCTTTTTGAGGCGGAAAGCTATTTTATTTTCTCCTGTGGGCACCCTACTCTTGCGGAGATTTTATCTCTCGACTCTCGGCTGCGTTGGCTCGCCAAAGTCTCTTTCCCGATGCACGATGGCGCTGGGAGTGTGTGTTTTCGTAGAGAAGCAAACACGCACCGATCGTCCGGGTTCTGTCGAGCGTGCGCGGTGCGGGCCGGGCCCGGCGGAGGCGAAAGCGAAAGGCTTGCGAGAGACGTCAGGGGCGGGGAGGGCGAGAGCGGCTATAGTGCGAGAGAGTTAGCTCTCGACACGACACGACAGGGACACCGACACAGACACAGACACAGACACAGACATATACACACACACTGCGCTCCACCCAGCTCCCGCGTGGGCAGGGAGACGCGAGCCCGACGGAGTCCGGGAGTGTGTAGGAGACGCGGCACTTGAGTTGACTCTTGTGTCTTGATCGAGATATAGCTCGGCACACACGCGCGGGGCTTCTCTGGACTCTCTCTGCACTGCTGGTCAGACCTCTACTGTATCGTACTGCTGCTCGCACACCGTACACGACAGTCGGACGACACCCAACCACGGCCGTTGGCCCACACAGCACCAGCAGCCAGCACGCTCTGCAAACTGCACACTTTGCACACACACAGGCTGCCACAGCTGTGTCGTGTGTGACATTGACGGTCGCCCTAACTGGCCATCAGTCACTTGCGCTGTGGCTTGTGTGAGCGACGCTGCTCGGCGACCACCGGCTTACTGTCTGTGAGACCATGGGTGATGGGTGAGGCAACAGCCAAAACCACACACTCAGCACACACTGCCGAGCGCTTCCTGTTTAAGGCTCTCGTTTCGCGGAGACACGTTTACATACGAGCTTGTAGATCAGTACTGTCTCTGCTCGTGCGAAACGGACAGAGATACATATAACTAAGCATGCAACAGGCAACCGTATACGGGCGTCGCGTGTGTGGCAGCGTCAGGGTGACGTGGCGTCTCTCTCATCGATCTCGACCTTCAGATCGGCCTCCAGGCACTGCAAGTCCAAGTCCGTTTGGACCTGGGACTCGGGCTCGACATTATCGAAGGAAGAGCACGTCAGGTGATATCCAGCTATCAGCGAGCAGCTCACCGACACGATGACCGGAGGCAGCGTACGCTCGCTGTGCTTTGCTGTGCCTCGAGGGTGGATGGCGATGCAAGGGCGGGCGGGCCGGCAGCGAGTGAGGCAGGTGGCGAATGCGGTGATACAACCGCCTAAGGTGTCGGTGGCGACGGTGACCATGTCGTTGCTCGGGCGGTGGTAGCTTCTGCTCTTGCTGGCTGTGGCGGCGACCCGGGACGAAAAGTCGCGCTTTCAAAAAAAATAAAATATTCTTAGCTTCAAGCCCCCCTCCGAGACTAGGGACAGAACCACACCAGTATAGACCAGAGGGACTGCGCCTCGCCCCCACTTGCCCTGACTACACAGGATAGCATGCCCCGATAACGGCGACACATAGTGGGGGACACTGCGCAAGGAGGGGGTGCGAAGGCTCATTGGGGTACTAGGTGGGACCATGAGGGGGGGTGGGCGGGGTCCTGTGGGGGTGAAATGTTGCGCGGCGAATTCGAACCTACCCCCTCGCCGCGCCGATCCTCACGCGGAGGGTAAAACCCTGTGGGACAAAACCCCCCCGCGGTCGGCAGTCTTCAGAGTGGACCCCCCCCTCCCCAGCCTCCCCTGTGCATCTCGCACCCCCCCCCGCTCCCCATCGGTGACTCGCGAAGGACACGGACACTCGGGGTGAGGGGGGGTCCCCCAGAGAGGGGGCTTTGGGGCATTGTTGGGTTGATCGCTCGTGCCGATCTCGGGTCGATCTCGGGTCGATCTCGGGTCGATCTCGGGTCGATCTCGGGTCGATCACGGGTCGATCTCGGGTCGATCTCGGGTCGATCTCGGGTCGATCTCGGGTCGATCTCGGCACTCGGGTCGATCTCGGGTCGATCTCGACTCTCGGGTCGGTCTTGGGTCGGTCTCGGAGTGGTCTAGAAAAGAAAAAAAAATGTGGGGCGAGATGAGGCGAGATGAGGCGAGGTGAGGCGAGGTGAGGGGCGATGAGGCGAGGTGAGGCGAGATGAGGCGAGATGAGGCGAGATGAGGCGAGGTGAGGCGAGATGAGGCGAGATGAGGCGAGGTGTACCTCGGCGAGATGAGGCGAGGTGAGGCGAGATGAGGCGAGGTGAGGCGAGATGAGGCGAGGTGTGACGAGGCGAGATGAGGCGAGGTGTGAGGCGAGGTGAGGCGAGGTGAGGCGAGATGAGGCGAGGTGAGGCGAGATGAAGCGAGGTGAGGCGAGATGAAGCGAGGTGAGGCGAGATGAGGCGAGATGAGGCGAGACTAGGAGGCGAGATGAAGCGGGATGTTGTGTGGCTGCTTGTGCTGCCAAGCAGGCAGCACAAGCAGCCATACAAGTGAGCTTTTGGGTTGTGGGCTGCTTGTGCTGCCTGCTCATGAGCAGGCAGCACAAGCAGCCACACAAGTCAGCTTTGGGAGCTCTCGGCGACGCCCAATGCGTGCGCCGGTAGGGGGGAGTGTGCGCGCGCGTCGGCGCGTCAGCTCGGCTCGGCGTAGCGATCGTGGCCAGCGCAACTCGCCTGGACTCAACGCTCAGCCAGGAGCTCCCGCACGCGCTGGCGCGAGTCATGGCGCATGCAACGCTCAACAATGCTCGCCTCGCCTCGCGCAAATGCGACCGTCCTCGCAGCCGACAGTCCACCGCCTGCTAAAGAAGCACAGCGACGAATGCGGCACCGGCGACGCATGGCAGGCTGGTCATGACGCAGTTATAGGGTGTTGTGTGCCGTCAGAGTGACTATCTGTGTGTCAGTCATAGTCAGGGCCGTCCATCAGAGCTCCAGTAAGCTCGGAGACATCCCATTAGCGCGGCTCGACCTCTTTGAGTCACTGCCTTCCCAGCGGTTTGGCTGTAGAGCCTCTACAACAAACTCTACAGCAAAATCGCGTTCTACATCGCTCTACATCGGACTCACATCGTCACGCGCCGGATGTAGAGCTCTACAGTCACAGCGCTCCAGAGCGCTCTACAGCTCTACAGCTCTACATCTCTACAGCGCTCTACACTCTACATCCTCTACACCCTCCCTCAGGCTTCCTCCCGTTCGGCTCTACGTTCGGTACGTTCAGCGTGGCTCACCCTCCATGCCGTGAACAGGCGCTTTATCCATCCTATATTCTTCTCTCGCTCCTCTGCCCGTGCCTTGGTCTTGTCGTTGTTTCGCACATCGCGAAAAATGCTAGGGAACACCATAAATTTCTTTTTACTCGCGCCCCCGCCCGCGCCGAGCCAAAGGAGCTCCGCGGAGCCGCCAGGCGCCCGCCCCGGCGGCTCACTAGTGAGCGCGCTCACTGAGCCGCCGGCGAAAAAGAATTTTGCGAGCTGGCGGCAACCTCGACCTCTCTCCCTCGGCCCTCTAGCGCCCGGCGCTACCTCACGATACGACGAGTATGTCCGAGCAGGCCGAGCGGTACAAGTCGCAGGGCAATGCGGCGCTCCAGGCCAAGATGTTTTCCGATGCCGTCGATCTCTATACCAAGGCGTGCCTCACTTCCGCCCGGGCGCTCTCTTGCGTGTGTCTATCGTCAGATTAGCGGCCCGCGCCGATAGGCCATCGCGCTGGACCCAAACAGCGCCGTCTACTTCTCCAACCGATCCGCCGCCTACGCGGCCCTCGAGCGCTGGCGCGAGGCGCTCGACGACGCCGTGGAGGCGTGCAGCCTCAAGCCAGACTGGGTCAAGGGCCATCTACGGTCTCGCGGCGGCGGCCAGCCGCCGCCCTGCCGCCCGCCGACTGAGAGGCACCCACTCCTGGCCTCAGGCGCGGCGCCGCGCTGGGCGCGATGCGCAAGCACGAGGAGGCGCGCAAGGCGTACCTGAGAGCGAGCCAGCTCGAGCCGCACAACGCGCAGGTGCAAAAGATGTTGAGTGACGCGGCCGAGGCGGCGCGGAAGGCGGCCGAGGAGGGGAAGAACTGGGAGAATGACCTCTGGTCGGACGACGATGAGGAGTCCACGGGCGCCAATGAGCAGCAGGGGCGGCTGCCGGAAGCGGCCGCGGGCGGCGGCGGCGGCGATGATGGCGGCGGAAGCGGGGGCGGCGGAGGCGGCGGCGGCGGCGGAGGCGGCGGCGGCAGAGCTCCGGTGCGAGCGGGCGCGCGGCTTGTGCATGATCTGGAGCGGTCGCTCAAGGATGCGTCGGAGGACTCGATGCGCTCGGCGCTGCGCGCGCTGGGCAAGGCGGACGCGGCTCTCGCCCAGAAGATGGTGCACTTGCTCGAGGGGCTCAACGCGGCCTCCTCCGAGGGCGAGGGGGAGGAGGACGAGTCGGCGGACGAGGCGGAACCGCAGGCGTCCCAGCGCAAGCGGCGGCGGGATGAGTACTTTGGCGGCGGCGGCGGCGGCGGCGGCAGTCGGCCGGGGAAGAGGCGCGGAGGATCTGACTCGGACTGAGCCGCTCTCAGGCGAAGCCAGCGGAGCAGCCTAGGGAGCAGCCCCGCACCTTCTGCCCGGCCTTAGCGCTTGCCACCGCGGTGGCTGGCGAGTAATCGGCCGCGGGTCTGGGGAACTGTGGGGGCGGTCTCATCAGTCGTCTCTCCCGCGGCGCGGAGCGACTGGCGCTCCTCCCCGCGCGCTATGTGCAGAGGTGCAGGGACTCCGCTCACACATCTCTCTCGGCTCACGTGCGCTCACACGTGCGAGTCTTTACTTTTTACGTAATCCATCATTTTTACGTGTATTATACACGCGGTCGACGTAATCCATCATTTTTATATACACGCGGTCGACGTAATCCATGGATTCATCATTTGACACCACTCACCAGCCGACGCTCGCGAGAAGCAAGCGATCGCGCACGGCCCCTGCCCCGGGAGGGACAGCACCTCCCGCACACACGCCACGAGCGCCGCGTAGCCCAGGCTAGTGGGGCCGTTGGAGAATGCGCCAGCCCGCGGCTGGGAGGGGTCAGTCCGCCGGCCCTTCCTCGCTCGCCGCCGAGGGCCCGTGCAGCACGACTCCCGCCTGCTCCAAGGTGCGGCGGGACGCCATCTGGTGCCACTGCAGCTCCTCTTGCTGCAGCCGGATTGCGAGCCGCAGCGAGGCGTCCTCGTCGCCTTCCGTCTCCATCCGCTCAGGGCCGTCCGCGTTGGCTCCGAAGCCGCCGCCGCCGCCCGGCACTGGCATCGGCGAGTTTGCGGTGATTGCCTCGTGGAGCGCCTCCTGCTCGAGCTGCTGCAGCCGCCAGGCAAGGGCGAGGCTCTCCGCCTCGAGGCTGCGCGGCGTCGCGGCCGACGATCCCGTCGGCGCCGGGGTCGGAGCCACCGAGCTCTCGCCGCCCGCCGTCGCTCGGGTGCCGCCCGTGTGGAGCTCCTCCTCGGTGTGCATCTCCTCAAGCCCGCCCCCCCTGCTCCGCTCGGCCGGCGTCTGCTTGAGCGGCCGGTCGCTCGCCCTCGGCCCGCCTGACGCCACCTCCGGCCGCGGGGACTGCACGGGAACCACCCGCCCCGCTGCCTCGCTTCCAGCCGCGGATAGCGGCGGCAACAGCTTTCCGGGGGACAGAGATGACGGCCGAGACGCAGCGCGGGGAGCGGCGCTTCGCTGAAGCAGCGGGTCCCACGTTCCCCTGACGTGAGGAAGGAGGAAGCCCATGGTTGCCTTTTAGACTCTCGCTCCGCTTCTCGGAGTCAAGGGCTGCGCCCCGCACACCGACGTTAGGTTCCTACGCAGAGAAGAACTCGCGGGCTTGCGGTGTCGTGCCAGTGTCTGGTGTCTACTAGCTCCGAGTAGAGGGGGCGTTCCGCTGCTAGGGGAAGAGGGCTAACCCTCGGAGACCCGTGTTTACTTTACGGCCCTTTCCCTGCGAACGCGCACCCCCCAGGGCTAGGTAGGTAGGTAGGTAGGGCTCTCTTGCTTGCCCGCAACCCGATGCCGATCATCCGGCCCGCTGGGTGTGCTTCTCAGCTCTCCGGCCCTGGATGTGAGGTTACCGACTGCACTCCAAGTGCTCCAAGTGCGGCTAAAGGGTTGCTGCGCGGTGAGACCTGAGCAACGACATGACTTGGCGGCAAATGATCGGAGTGGGCGTCAGAAGAGTCGTCCTTGCGCGAGGAGAGCTCGATAAACTCGAGGGGCCAAAATATGCCGCGAGGAGGGCAGAGCTGCGACGAAAGGCGAGAGAAGCAGCGAGAGCAAGGGGGCGGCAGGCGGCGGCGGCGTCGCAGAACGAGAGGCAGAGAGGAGAGCGACGCGACACTGAGCTGCAACTTGGAGCTAGAACCAGGGCTAGAACTTGAGAGGCTGCAACTGAGGGTGAAAGTACTGACTGCCAGCCAAGTTTGATTGCTGCTGCAACCCTGAATTCTAACTCTGTGACTCCAATGGGTCTACGTCTCTGCTGTGTTTAAAGGATCATCAGAGGTGTCGAGGTGGTTCGAGCGTTGTCGAGCGGTGTCGAGCGGTGTCGAGCGGTGTCGAGGGGTGTCGAGGGGTGTCGAGGTGTCGAGTTTGGCACCTTGACATGGACGAGCACATGGTTTCAGCCTAGATGGTGTCGAGGGGGGTGTCGAGGGGTGTCGAGTTGGTCGACGGTTCGCCCAGTGTTGTGAGGGAGGGCCGGGAAAACAGTAGGGGGAGGGCTCCCAGGGCTTGGAGGTCTTTTTCAGTTGCAACCATGATGATAGGCAAGGCGTTCAGGGTAGTGAAGAAATAAGAAGAAGAGGACATGGTTCGACCTCGCGTGCGAGATGTGTGTCGCGACCCCTCGTCGCCCGACACCTCCCGACACGGTGTGAAGAACAACTCCTCTCTCGACCGCTACTACGCCGCCGCTCTTCTCACTGCGGTCTGCGCAGCTCACGGCCCTGCCTCCTCCCCCTCCTCCTCCTTCTTCGCCGCCTCCTCCGCCCGCTTCGCCGCCCTCTCCATCGACGTCAGTTTGACGAACTTGACCTCGTCCTTCTTGCCGATCACGGCCTTGAACTCCTTGTGGTAGGGGCAGGTCACCTTCCTCTCACATCCTTCGTCGTCGTGGTGAGGTTGTGGTCCTTTGAGCCGCAGAGCGCGCAGCCGTACCTTCTCGGCGGCGCCGCCGCCGGCGGGGACAGTACCGAGGGGGATGGGGTAGGGTCACCGTTTGAGCGAGCGAGGGCTGTGGCGCCGACGGTGGCACCCCCTTGTACGAGGCTGTGAGGGGAGCGGCGGCGAGAGGGGCGGCGGCGGCGACGCAGGCGAGCCGCGCGCGCGCGCGACTGAGGGAAGCGCGGGCGGCGGGAAGAAGGAGAACGGCGGCGGCGGCGAGGCGCAAAACGGGGGCGGCGGAAGTGGGGGCGACGGCGGCGGCGGAGTGAACGGCGGCGCGCGCACGGACGGCGACGAAATCGACGGCGGGAAGGGGCGGGGCTGCATGGCGGCGGCGGGCGCGCGCTCATATGTCGTGCTTTCGCATTGACACTCCACATCCTCCTCGGCGACCTGCGTGCGCGGGAACGGCAGGGGTCATGTCGCGCGCACCGGGCGGCGCCGTGCTCGCAGCAGCCGGGATCGCGGCAGAGTATGGATGGTGGAGAGCTCTACCCGCGCACCTGCCCAGAAGAGGAGTACGACAAAATAGCGCCCGTGATTGCCTGCACGCTACCCGCACTCACGGACTCCATACCCGAAAGAAAGAAAAGGGAGCTCGCGGGGAGTTGCAGAGCCGCGCCGCGCCAGCAGCAGCATCTGCACCAGCAGCAGCAGCACCACCACCACCAGCAGCAACAGAGACAGGCAGTGCAGGCGCAGAAGCGCTCGCAGAGCGGCGCGCAGCGCCGCGCACGCCACGCTGCGGACCGTCGTACGAGCGCACCGTACGTCGGCGGCGAGCCGCGTCGCCAGCCGTCTCGCGAGAGAGCGGCGCCGCCGGATGCGCGCAGCAGCCGCCGCGACAGAGGCGAGCCGCGGCGACGTCCGCACTAACGGATAACGGCCATTGGCGGAAGTCTCGACCTTGTATCTTAGAATTCTTTAGGGATGGGAGGACGGCACGCCGCCACCGCACAGGATTTTAAGAGAGGGGTGTGTGCGTCCAACCCGCCTGCGACCACGATGCGGCTCCACAGCCTCTCCGCCTACGCCGATGCGCTCTGCTCCGATGGCTCTCCCGCCGGCTACTACTGGCAGCCCGCCGCGGCGGAGAGCGGCGACTGGATTGTGATGCTGCTCAGCGGCGGCTGGTGCTGGGACGCGCCGAGCTGCGAGGAGCGTTGCGGCGGGGAGCGGCGCTCCTCGCACCTCTGCTCTTCGCGAGCCTGGCCGGCGGAGCGCGAGGCGACGGGCGTGCTCGCATCGCCGCACCCTCGGCTCGGTGCCGCCAACAAGATTCTCGTGCCGTACTGCACCTCGGATGCACACATGGGGGACGCCGCCGCGTTTGGCCTCGAGTTCCGCGGCGCCGCGGTCGTGCGGGCGGTGCTGCACGACCTGGTGACCACGCGCGGCCTCGGGCCCGGCGCGCGTCTTCTATTTGGCGGCGTGTCTGCGGGCGCGAGAGGCGCGATGGTGCACCTCGACTACGTGCGCGGCATGCTCCCGCTCCCGCGAGAGGCGCGGCGGCGCGTCGAGGTGCGCGGCCTCATCGACTCTGCGATGTGGCTCGACGACCCGCCCCTCCGGCCGTGGGCGTCGACCAGGAAGAGCTTCTTCGGCCTGGCAAACGCGACTGCCAACGTCGCGTCGTTCGCCAACGTCACCCACCTCGGCGAGGAGTGCGCCGAGGAGCACGCCGACGAGCTGTGGAGGTGCCTCTTCGGCGCGTACCGGCTGCTCTCCGTGCGCACGCCCTACCTCGCCGTCGGCTCCCAGTTTGACACCTACCAGCTCGACAACGACTTTGGGGGCTGCGGCCACTGGGGCTGCCGCCCGTCGGGCCCGGAGGAAGAGGCCTTCGCGTGGCGGTTCGCAGACGAGACGGCGGCGCTCGCGCGTAGCCTCGCCGTCGGCGAGCGCTACGTCTACTCGAGCCGCTGCCACCGCCACGCAGACAGCCTCGGCGGTGACTTCTTCTTGCGCGGGTGCGGCGGCGTCTCGATGCAGGCCGCGCTGCTCCGGCTGCTCGAGGAGCCCGCCACGCTGCCCGGCCTGTGGATTGACGAGCAGTGCGACCACTTCGACTGCTGCTGCCGCCCGGCCGACCGCACGACCGCCACCGCCGCCGCAGCGAGCCTCGCCGCAATCGGCCTCTGCGTCGCCGCCTATGCGTGCAGCACGCGAGGCCGCCGCACGCGCAGCAGCCGTTTCTGCCGCGCCCGCTGCGGGGGTCTATTGGACAGGCTCCGCGAAGCCAGGCGCCGCGTTGCCAAGGCGGTGTGCCCGTGCGGCCGCACGAGCCGTCACCGCGTGACCGAGATGAACGCCGCCCTCGTCGACGGCGCAGTGCCGCTGGGAGCTAGCGTCACCGATGTCGCCGCTGCGCTGCCTGCAGCGCCGGTTCCGGCCGCCGCCGCGCCGCCGCCGCGGGCTGTGTCACCGAGCCCGAGGTGTAGGAGTGAGGGAGAGGGGGTGCCTGAGGGGACGCCGGCTGTCGGAACCAACGGGACGAGCGGGCCAGCCGTCGAGAGGGTTTAGGCTTACTGGTGACTCGAGCCCGCCTAGCTTCCCCCCTCTAAACCATACACCTCCCCTCCTCTCTCCGGGTAACAACCCAACACGACTCGTAACTCACGACACTCGAGATCGGACTCTGACTGCACGCAAAACACATGAGCTGTGTTCCGACTTGCGGCCAGGCCTGCGCAGTAACATTTTACACACCCCTCTCCTGCCCTCCGGGGACCTACCGTTTCGACTACCGTAGCACCTACAAACCCTTGGCCTTGCCCAGATTCCTAGCCAGCGCCTCGCAGCGGTAGCCGCGAGTCGCCCTCGCGGCCGCACGAGACGAGAGGCAGCGGCAACGGACCCGCGAGCGGCTGAGCAGCGCCCTCTGCTGCAGATCGACCGTCGTGCAGCACGTCCACAAACTCGAGGCGGTGGACCACCACCCGCGCATTCGAGTCGAGCAGGTAGACGCTCACGCCGTCGACGTGTAGCGGCGAAGCGCGAGGGAGGGGCAGGCGCAGCCAGATCTTCGCGGCCCACCGCACGCGGATGGTGTCATCGTCACACACGTGCAGCCTGTGCTGCAGCTCCGCCGCGGCAACCATGGTGCGCCGAGAGAGGTGCAGCGCGTCGAACATGCGTGTGTAGGCAGCAATGCCTCGGACCCTCGGCCCGCCGCCGTCAGCCCGGAAGCAGACGATGTTCCTCGCGTAAATCGACATGTCGGGGCGCTCTTGAAAGAGGCGCGGGTACGATTCGCGGAGCACGTCGATGACACGCCCTCGGCGGAGGTGAAAGTCGGAGGCGGGTTTGCGCACGGGAACGGCGCAGGCGTGAGACGTCGACGGCAAAGCTTTGGAGGGCGTGAGCAGGCGCGCGGCGTCAACGAGGGCGTGAGCAGGCGGGCGGCGCTGGGACGCCGACGACACTCGCGCGGATGGGCGAGGGACGAGGCGTTGCATCGTGTGGCGACCGGCCCGACTCCACCACAGTGAGTGGAGCCGTCTGGTCCGTGTAAAAGAAATCCTGGTGGCAAGCAGGGAAAGCCGTTGAGGAGAAAGGGCGCAATATATCTTTCTTGATAGCCCCGGTATCCGAAGCCTCTCGAGCTTGCTTGAGAGGTCGGCCTCCACCTCGCAAAATAACCCCTCCGTCCACGTGGCAATCTCCCGCGTGCCGAACCGGCGCGAGAGGGAGTATCCGCGGGTCGGGCGGGGGGGGCCCTCCCTCCTGGATGATGATTCTAGCACTTCCCTCCATAAGATAAGGCCACCTCGAATGTGCATAGAGGTGGTCATTGAGAGGGGAGTCCTAGAGACTGAGGGAGTTGGAGGTTATTTTGTCTGTCTGCCGTCTGGTCCGTGTTTTCTGTTCTTGAAATAACACAGCCTGACACCTCTATCGGTGGAGGTGACGAAAGGTCTCCAAGGAAATTCACAACGTAGAGGACCAAAAAGAAACTACGATGCACTCATGCGGAGCCTTTATAGGACGAACGTCCGAAGTGTGTGGGCTTACGGGCAGGCGCTGCCCTGCGGGCAGCGCGCCGCGCGGCATGTCGGATGTAGACAGTATGTCCAGCGTGGACGTGATCGACGTTCAGGCCGATCGCGTCACGGTCATACCCGACTGCGGCGCGGCCGTGCCGCATGCTGTGGTGGCGATGGGACAGCCGCCAAAGGAATCTTCAGATGTGGTTGCATGTGCTATGTGCGTGATCAGTGGGGCCACGGCCGCGGGCAGCGGCAGGAAGACTTCGCCGGCTTCACTCGGCGGCAGTGAGTGCTGGGGCCATAAGCTCTCTGGCACCCGGTGTGATGCGACAAAATGGGGTGTGTCAATTCGCGGCACGTCGCACTTCTACATGCGCTTCTGCGCGGCGTGCCAGACGGAGGGCGTGCGCATTCCGGTCGACAGGCTGCGCATCCTCGATAGGGAAGTCGCCCAAGGCGTGCGCGCAAGACACGCGTCCCACTCACCGGCACCCGCACCTTTTTGCGGGCCGTGGATGCACGTACGCGATCCCAGTCGGTGCCACCCGGTGCTGCAGATCAGCGCCTCTCCCACCCGCGGATTAGGCGCCGGCGTAGCCAACAGCACCTCCAACGGCATCTGGACGGGCCACCAGACACTGCCCCCCTTCCGGGCCCTCAACCAGACCGCGCGCTGCAAGGGGCCAATCGCTGTCGTCTTTGCGACCAAACTCGACGAGGGGGGGGAGGCGGGGGCGCAGCCCGTGCCCAGCCCTCCGCCCGCCGTGGTGCGCACGCCTACCGCCGAGCTCGGCTGGTCCCTCTCTGCCGTAACCAGCGAGCTCTTCCTTGCTGCCGACAATGCGAGCGCAGAGACAGCCGGCCTTGCGAGGTACAGCGACGGCCCCGCCGATGGCTCGGGCAGCCGGCGGAGCAGGAAGCGCGCCATCGAGAAGGCGAGCGTCAAGGAGGACGCCAGCGCGGCCGCGCCCTCGACTGCAAACGACCCCATTGCCTGGCGCCTCCGCTGGCTGGCTCGCCCGCAGGGGGCTCCTTTCATGAGGTGTCCTGTTCGCGAATAGGCAACCCGTCCCTGCTGGGTGGGAGGTGTCGTCGGAGGCTGATGGTGTGTATGTCCACTTTTACGTCACCAACGCGACCCTGGTGCGGCCAATCCCCGTTTGACTCGTTCCACCTCCCACCCCCCCACCCTCTAGTTGCACCTGTGCGACCTCCCCATCGGCCGCAACTTCTCAATGTGCAACTCAGCTGTCCCCCCCCCTCCCCCACCCCCACCGCCACCACCCCGTGAACCCAATTCGAGGTACCGGTCACCTACGAGTCGCCAGGCCGCTTTGTTGGTGGAAAGAGACCGGCACTGCAGGGCCCAGCCATCGCACGCAAGTTGCAAGGCGCGTCCCGAGCTGCCCATGACTCGGCTAACAACGATGCGGCAAGCAGCTGGATCGAACGGTTGCTGCCTCACACTGCCCAAGGTGCGGACCTCCCCCAAGTTCCACGCGCACTTCAAGGGGCCGAGAGGGCCGACGCGCCTTCAACTCGAGCTGTGAGTAGGCGTGGCAACCGTGCTGCCCTTTGGTGCTATTGACCGCAGCCGTCATGGCGCGGAGGCGGTGGCGCTCGCCCCTCTCGCGGCGCCGCAGGGGCAGGGGCCACTGGGCGGTGAGGCCTACTGGCATGTCGAACCGCAACTGGTGTCTTGTGAGGTCTTTGGGCTTCAGCCGCTACAGCCATCGCCACAGCCGCAGCTACAGCATCAGCCGCCGTTGCCGCCGCCGCCGCCGCACGATTGGCCCCGCGGGGAGGGCAGGGGAGAGAGCGCTCAGATCGACGGAGAGAGCAGCACGCGCTTTCTCGAGAATCGGCAGAGCTCAATTCCGCTGCTCCCGCCGCAGCCGCCACCGCAGCAGCAGCAGCCACGTCAAACGCAGCCGATGCCGCAGCTTGCCGGTGTTCCCCCATCGCCAACTCCCTCCCCGCCCCCCCTGCTGGTGGAGGCTCCTAGCTGCCGGTCTTTGGAGCCGGACGTGCTGCCGAACTCGCCGCCTGGCCTGGTCGACATACTGACGGGCCCCCCTGCCCAAGCCCTTGCGGGCGTCTGCGGCATCCTCGGCGTTTTGCTCACAAAGCTGGGCGACAGGCCAGCATTCCAGGCGGCCAACGCCACCCGAGCTGACACGCACCGATAGGGTCGTGATCCAATGAGACGAGAGATATGACAGATTGCTAGCAGGTAGTAGCGCGATGCGACGCGAGATGCGGCGAGATGCGACGCGATAATCCTCCCTAGGTGGCGCTCCCCATCGCTGCCTTTGCCGTGTTCGCCCTTCTCACCGATGCTGGAAGCAGCTCGAGCAAGTTGCGCAAGGCTGGCTGCGTCGCGGGGCTATGCATTGGCGCCCCCACCCACCCCATCTCACGCGCGCCGCCCTTTCCCGTATCACTCGGGGTGACGGAGGGTAGGCGTCATCAACCTCATAGAGCTATGCGTCTTGAGCGGCGAGGGGATTACGAAGGTGCATGAGGTGAACGAGTCGAGCAGCAACCAGGCGCACCGTCCGTTCGGAAATGCCGCCAGTTCACACACCTCCGCAGTCGGTTCGATCTCGGCAATTAGGTCGGCGTCTTGGTCGTCGGCGCGACGTTCGGCGGATGGTTGGGAGCGCAACCGTCCAAAGACCTCTCCCTCAGATGGCAGGCCTGCAGTACACGCTCTCTCTCTCTCTCTCTCTCTCTCTCTCTCTCTCTCTCTCTCTCTCTCTCTCTCTCTCTCTCTCTCTATAACCCCCCCAAAAGCTCTTCGCCGCTGCGCTGCGTTAGGCTCTCACCCTCTCGCTGCTTCTCCTGCTCGCTGCGGGCTCCGACATCATCCTCTGGGCCCGCGTCAAGGCGTTTGGAGTGACCGCGCCGTTTATCACGTGGCCACATCCCTTTTGCATCCCGCTCTGCCTTGGCTACGCCCTCGCTTTCACCGGTTGCTGGCGATGGCGCCCTCTGGACGTGGTGTTGCGGCTGCCCAATCTCCCTCGCCAGTTTCGCCACGCCGACCCCAGCCGGAACGGGAGCACCAGCTCTGGTGGAGACACAGCTGTCGTTAACGTGCCGACGTGGCTCCAGGTTGTCTCCATCTCAGTGTCCTTGCTGTGGGTCGGCTGCCTCGCTGTGCAACAGCAGGGGCCGCCGCCCGCCGCCTTCACCTTCCCGGTCCTCGCCACCGGATATCTCACGCAGCTCTTCCGAGGAGGCGCCGAGAGTGCGGGGAGGGTGTGGGCTGTCGCTTGCTTCGTCGGGCCGATCGCGGGGATCTTTGGCGCGATGCTGCGTCCCTCCGAGTCGCTGGCGGCCGAAATTGACATGCAGCTTGCCCTCCGCCCCCTCACGGCCTTAACGAGCTTGTCGCTGGGCTACGTCCACAGTGTCCAGCCCTACGGCGCGCGACACACACCTCCCGTCCAAGCGGCAGCCTTACACCAGGACCAAGCCTCCCCAAACAAACTCCCTGCCGTAGGCCCGTCAGCCCAGCTCCTCTTCGCCATGGTCGTGATCGGCCTGTACTCGCTCGTCCTCACCGTCACCTACATCCGCACCCAAGACGAGCGCTGGGTCAATATGGTGCGCCGAAGCCCCTCGTCCCTTGCTGCCAGCCCCTTTGGGGCCTATCTCCACCTGGCGCCTTGTAGCATCAGCTCGCGTACCCCACGCCTCGACTTGAGACGTCGCAGGTGCTTCACCCGTTGGTTGCTCCCTTTGCCGCCCCATCCCTCATCTCCGAGCTCGTCCGCTCCATGTGGAGGGGCATGTCGCCGCGCATCGGCGTGGAGGGGCGGATGGCGGGGCAGCCGAGAGCAGGCGCGCCAGCGCAACAGATGAGCTACGCAGAGGGTGTGCGCGCATACATCGACAGGCGAGTGCAGACCCGGGCGGCTGTCTGCCTGATCCTCACCATCTGCCTCTGCATGTTCCTCACGGGACACCTCGTCGACGTCGACGTGCCTCGACACCAGCTGAACACCTGGCTGGCGGTGCTGGTCACGCCTCCCGGAGTCTTTGCGGTCTTCTCGGTAATCTTCCCTGAGCTTGACTGCGCCTCCTCTGGCACCACGGTTGCCGCCGCGTTCACAATGTTTTCCGCGTGCGCATTGTCTGCTTGCCTCATCTGGGCGAAGCAGCTCTCGCGCCCGCACAGATGCTGGCCGTTCGTTGTCAGCATTGGGGTGAGCCAAGCCCGGGCCGCCACCCCTCCCTCTCTCCCTTTCCAAGTTGCGCACTAGCCACCCCCTACCACCCTTTGTCCCACGCCCCCTTCTCCCCCGCACGCAGGCCGTGCAGTGCCTGACCCTTGTGGCAGCGCCCACCCTGTTGTTGGCCTGGCCGCAACGATCGTGGTTCGTGGCGCGTCTCGCCATCGGCCTGGCGGGCGTAGAGCAGCTCGTGCGCATCGCCGTGCTACAACTCGCGGTGCGTACCGGGTCGTGCGCCGGCGACCCGCTTGAGCCCCTTTCGGCGTTTCCTCCGGGCGATCTGCCCCTGCCCCTTGCTGCCGCACTCGGATTCGCCGGGCTAGCCGCCGCGCTCGTTTTCACGCCATCGACGAGGGACGCAATCTCGCGACGCAGCGGCCGGCTCGGGGCTCGCTGGGCGCACACGATCGACCTCAGCACCGGCATCAACTTGCGCGCGTTGCCGTCATTGCATGACGAGTCCAAGCCGAAGCATGCACCCCCACCCACGGTGACCTGCTCGGGCTCCTCGTCTTTGAGCATCGGCGCCGTCACGGTTGGTTGCTCTGACTTAAAGACGCCTGTCGTCGCAGACGCCTCGTGATTGTGGCGGGCCGCTGGCCCTTGCTTGCCCCTGAATCTCCTGCTCTCCTCCCATGCTCCAGCACCTCGCGCCCAGAGGCGAGAGCAGGCCCAGAGCAACCAGCCCCGTGCCCCACCAACCGTTGGCGCTGCCGCCCCTTTTTTCGACTTTGATCTTTGTGTGATTGACGCCCTTTCGATCTGACGTGGCGAATTTCTCTGTTTTCCCTCTGATGGTTTTTGTTTGTTTTCCCTCTGAAACTGAATAAACGGGGGAATGGAAAGAGAGAAGCCGAAGCGGAAAAGAAGAACACGGAGAGAAGAGTGGGGCAGCACTTGTCTCTCACAGTCGATCACAAGTGCTGCCCCAGGGCTCCACAGCGCCGTATTCTCTTTGGCTCCGGCGGTCTCTTGGGGACAGCACTGGGATCTCGGGCCGACCTCTCTACCCGGATAGGGGGTCTTCCCCGCTGACTCGCGCCACGAAACGCCCTACCTACCTACCTCTTCCTATCGCTATCCCCAGGCCGCGCAGCTTCGAAGCGAAAAATGGCGAAAATAGGGGTAGGGCCCTCTTGGGCCAAACAGTGATTGCAAACAAGCCCAACCTACCTACCTCTATATCTGGGAGCTAGTAGCTCCAGCGAGTAGTGCCTCGAGCTCGACCCCCTGCGGGGTAGGTAGGTAGGTAGGAAGCAAGAGGTGAAGAACAGAGTCAGGCTCGGACTGGACACCGCGGTATGGGTGGACGCGAGACAGAAGACGACGACACGCGCGAGCGACACACACAGACAGACAAACTCACAAGACACTCAGCCAGCTGGGCTGCCACACATCCCGAGCGAGAGCCGAGTGAGCGTACGGCACTACGCCACTCAGGCCACGCCCGGCCCCTGTCGCCCCCCCCCCCCAGTACACCCAGCACGCACGGTGCCAAGGGCACAAAGAACAGCAGAAACAACACAGATAGGCGACGACAGGGCACGCGAGATGAGAGAGAGATTTTTAGAAGCGAGACGTGTGAGGCTAGAGCAGACTGCTCCGCCTCTAGCGATCTCGCCGGCCGCAACCCGCAAGGCACGGGACGAGACCACGTGTGGGGTCGTGTGGGGTGTCTATGGACGCTCTCCTCACAGGCCGGCAACTCATAGTTGACGACAGTGCATATGATGAATCTATAGCACTAGACCTGCACCTGGCTGGCTGGGTGCGACAACACACACAACTCTCTGGTGCGTGTGCTGAATCTAGGCCGCACACCGTGGCACTACGACTTTTGGTTTGGCGTGCGGCCGCAGCGCGCCCGCCGTAGGCTCGACGGCGCGCGCATGTCAGCGAAGTACTCGAGTACCGGGTCCCGGGTACGCGGTGTGAGCCCGAACTTGAGAGATCTCCACGGCCGCAATGGCTCTCGCCTCATGCTTGGTGGCGCCCTTCATCGGGCTCTCGCCGCTGGCGCTGCAGAGGCCGCGGACGATCGCCGCGCTCGTCGTGCGGGAGCACCGCAGGTCGTGCGGCACGCTCCTGGCTGCCGACCAGGGCGCCGAGCGGGTGGTGCGCGTCAGCGTGCGCAACAGTCAGCTCCTCGCGTCGACGGCAACGGCCAAGAAGGTGCAGACTGAGGATCCGTCGGCCCTCAACATCAACCTTGGTGGAGTGCAGATCTGGCCGAAGCCGCAGGGCTCCGTCATCGGCCTCTTCGTGCTGATGCTCGCGCTCGTGCGCAAGGCCATCATCAAGGGCGGCTTCCGTAAGGCCTTCCTCGAAATGGCCGACTCGCGCTACCTCGCCTCGAGCAAGCAGGAGGAGGCGGAACTGCACGAGTTCCAGTGCGAGAAGTGCTCGTTCACCATCTTCC